CTTTAACGATCTTTAAGAATCACATGGAACAATCTCCAACTCTTTGTAGGAAAGATAATGGTGTTCATTATTCAAGTTTATTGAATTTTTCACGGAATCATATTTCGGGCCCTGGAAAGTTCAAAAATTGGCGATCTCCCTGTGACTTTCGTACTGACTCGTAAATTTGATCGTCCCCTTGTGACCCTCTCAGTTTGACCCTTGTGAAAATTAACCGCCCCCTTGTCCCGGTTAACTGCCGTGACATTTGACCGTCTCCTTGTGGCCCTCGTGAAAATTTGCCCCTCGTGAAATTTGACCATCCCCTTATGACCCTTGTGAAATTTGACCATCTCGTGGTGACCCTTGTGACGTTTGACCCTTGTGAAATTTGACCATCCCCTTGTGACCCTCGTGCTGTTTGACCCTCGTGAAATTTGATCGTCTCCTTGTCTCGCTCGTCACGTTTGACACTTGTGAACCTTGTTTCCATGTGACCCTTGTGACTTTTGACCCTTGTAAAATTTGATCATCCCCTTGTGACCCCCGTGACCTTTGGCTTTCGTGAAATTTAGGCATTCCCTTATGACTCTCGTGACGTTTGACTCTCGTGAAATTTGACCATCCCCTTGTGACCCTCGTGCTGTTTGACCCTCTGAAAATTTGATCGTCCCCTTGTGACTTTTAATCCCTGTGAAACTTGATCGTCTCAATGTGACCCTTGTAACTTTTGACCTTCGTGAAATTTGATCATCCCCTTGTGACCTTCGTGACGTTCGACCCTCGTGATGTTTGACTCTCTTGAAATTTGACCATCCTCTTGTGATCCTTTTGTCCCTTCTGATATTTTGACCCCGATGAATCATCTTATTCTTGTGACCTCCCTGGTCTTTAAATCCCTTATGAATATTTTTTAGATTAATTTTTTTTCTCATTACTTGTCCCTGAGAAAATATCGATCCCAACCCAGAAATATCGATACACCCAATATCGCGATGCGNCCTTATGAATATTTTTTAGTTTAATGTTTTTTCTCATTACTTGTCCCTGAGAAAATATCGGTCCCAACCCAGAAATATCGATACACCCAATATCGCGATGCGCAAATATCGATCCAAAATATCGAATATCGGAACAAAAAATATCGATACAAGTAAGTATCAATACTAGATCGGGAAACACTAGGTCAAGCCAAGGTTAACCCAAGGCCAAGCTAAAGTTGACCCAAAGTTGACCAAAAGTCAATGCAGAGTTGGCCCAAAGTTGACTCACGTTCAACCTTGATATTGATCTTTCTAGACTCCAATGAATGGCTAGGAGTCGATTTTCACATTTTCCGCTTTTTTTCGGCTCCTGTTCCTAGTTAAAATTTCCGTTCACTAGAAATTTCATTTCACATTATCTTTGAAAAAAAAATATATTAAAATTGTCCTGGGATTAATTTTCAATTCCGAAAAAGTTGATTGGAAATAAAGAGATCACCAAGAATTACAAATCCAATTCTCAATTTTCAAAAAAGTTGATAATATTGAGAGGGGCTAGCATAAAATGCATTGTAGTCCTCGTTGCTCCAATCCTCAACTAACTCTCAATTTTCTCTCAAACACTGGAAATTATTGAGTCATTCCTATAATTTT